CATGGGTCCTCATGTCTTAGCATATGCACCTTCAAAGCTGTGGATGAAAGGTGTGTGTGTCGGGGGGACATATTTCCAAAAGAGTGAAGGGGTTAGGGGACGGGGGGAGACCAAAGCAAGCCAATTTCTTGCTGGGTGACGATCCTAGAGGATCTGTGGATCAAAACAGCTCTACAGCCTCCATCCCAGCCTGGTTTAACCTGAATAACCAGCCTTGCTTCAGGTTTTCAGTCGCACTGAGCTTCACTGCCATGCTTGGAGTCGAGTTACTGCATCATTGAGCTGCCTGACATGTAGTCCATACAGCAATGAGAGGCAGGTCTTCTCTTCCCCTCAAAAGACAAGTTAAAAGGTTTGGATCTTCTTCAGAGGGCCCTACACAAAAAACAGCTGGTTAATGAAGGTCACACTTCCTGAGAGCCACTCACAACGCAAACCATAGCCCACATTTGGGCTGAGAAGCTAGGCTGGGTGCTACCTAGCTGTCTCATTCCCACGCAGGCTGTGAAATGCCTCCAGAGCTGTTCACAACGTCTACTGCAGAACCCCTCTCTGGTCTCCGCTGCAATCCGGTGTCATCTCCACAGCTCCAGTTTAATAGGGGAAAGCATGAAGGACCGATGGATGGGGTGTGAGAGTCTCCTCTTCTTCCTCTGGGTTTTGTAGCAGCTTCTTGCGGTCCTAAGTCCTTTGGTAGGTAGAACGAAATGGGCTTGTTGGCCACATGTGGGCTTGTGATCGCTGCACTAGCCAGGGATCTTCACTGACCTTCGATTTTGCAATGGCTTGTGTTTCCTGCTGATTCTTGCAGGGCAGGGCATGCTCTGTTCACCCTCAGTGCAAGAACAATAAGCCTTCAAAACATCTGGCTTCCTACCTAGAGTAGAGACACCGATGCGGAGCTAAGAACAGCTCTGGCGTGGGACATTAGGGAGGTGAGGCTAAAACATAGGGTCATAGGAAAGTAGGGTTGGATGGGACATCACAAGGTCATCTACTCCAGCCTCCTACACCAGGCAGGATCATCCCTGGCTGAACCATGCCAGTCAAGTGTCTGCCTAACCTGCTCTAGAAATTTTCCAGGGATGGAGAGTGCACAGCTTCAGCAGGTGCCGGAGGACTCTCTTAGTCAAACCATTCTTCCTAATCTCCCACCTAAATTTCCCCTGCTGTAGCTTCAGGCCATGACCCCTGCAGCCACCGAGAAAAGTCTACCTCCATTCTCTCTGTAATCGCCCATCGGGTATTTAATGATTGTTATCAAAGCCTGTCTCAGACTTCTCTTCTCGTTCTTTCAGTCTTTCCTCATAAGTCATGCTTCCCAGGCCTCCACTCATTTTTATCACTCTGCACATGGAACGTGGCATCCATGTTGTTTAAGAGACTTGGGAAAAGACACACACACGTCGAGAAAGCTGGACCTCACAGTGAGAAACTTGAGGATGGTAAGCAGCTTAGTTTATCAAGAAGATGAAGAAGTAACTTGAGTAGGGTCTGTAAATATGTTCTTAGGACAGGCACCAACGGGCCTGTTAATTCAGCTGAAAAAGGACCCATGGCTGGAAGCGAGTGCCAGGCAAATTCCACTGCAGACACGTTTTAACAGAGCGGGTGATTAGACTCAACATCATTGGCAATCCTCGCAGTCAAGGGACTGGGACATCAGCAATCCCATTGGCAACCCCTCGCAGATAAGACAACCATGGAAGACACCCTGGAAGACAATTGTCTTCCATGATTATCTTATTTGTGGATCTGAAGATGTCTGATGATGCCTATCTGGGATCGGCAGACTCTGTTGCATCTCGGGCACATGTTTCCATACAGGGTGAGCGGCTCCAAGTTCTTGGTTCGGTCCGTACCACACTGTTTCTTCCACTCCCATTTTTCTGTCTTCTGTTGCCATTGTGAGGTTTCAGAGTACTGAGATCCTTGCAGCAGGTACTTCCTCCATTTAAGGCCACTTCCTAGCAAAGTGGTCCTCGCTCCTACCTTGGGTAAATTCAAAAAGAGGTTGGATGAACACCTGTCTGGGGTCGTGTGATCCCAACGTGTGCTCTGGCCAGTGGCGGGGGGGTCATACTAGATGATCTTAGGTCTCTTCTGACACCTAACTACTATGAAACTATAAGGCAGTCCTGGGTGATGGTCTCCCATGAGCTGATATTGATGTTGCATTTTTTCAAGTTGACCTTGAGGATGTCCTTACAGCGCTTTTCTCTGCCCTCCTGTTGATCAGACCCCTTGACTGCACTGGGAGAATAAGATTTTTTCTCTGGGAGTCTGGAATTGGACACCTGGATGACATGGCTGGCCCAGCAAAGTTATGTCGGATGATCATCTAATTGTTGGTTAGAATAAAAAGTCGATGGTAGTGGTGTATGCTCCATTTCTCGGTTGGCAGATGAATGCCAGATGGCTTTCTGAAGGAGCTGCTTTCCTCCAGCAGGCTCGCACGAGGCTTTGGACTCACGGAGGGCTTAATTCTTTGCAGTACTGGAGCATGTAGCCACCCTGGTCATGGGCCAGGGCTACATTGTGCTTGGCGCTGTACAAAAAAAGGGTCCCTGTCCCAGAGAGTTTGTAAGATGAGAGGCAGCAAGTGGATTCAGACAAACAAGGGGGCAGTAGGCTCATTCTGGACAGTGTACAAGCACGGCTTAGCACACAAGCTCTGTTGAGCACAAGCAGAACGGAGTGCTCCATCGGCCCTCGCTTTGCAGAGGCCTGCTGGACTGTAGCATGCATGCCGTGTGTGTACTCAGGGACTTCATATTTACTGAGAGATATCTCCTGTGACTCATTCAATTGCTTCCTCCTCCTGTATTGCGTGTGCGGAGCAGAGGGGCTGTTTTCATCCTGGCCGGGCTGTCAGATCTCACCCAGGGAGAAGCCTGAGGTTGGAAACAGGGCTCGGGAACCTCTGAAGTTGACGCTTACGGAAGAGGGAGGTCTAACTGGTTCCCTTTGTTGACCGGGCAAGGCAGAGCCCCGAGAGGGTCATTCACATGGGCGTGCAAGCATTCATCAGTCCATCCCGTTGCTAAACTATGCAGTGTTACCATGGCACCCACAACAACACAAGGCAACTTTGGCTTTGGACCTCCTGGAGCTGCCGGTGAAAATGTATGGGGCTAAATCCTACTCGCGCTTTCCCAGGTGTAACTCAGGGTACGGCTGTACAGTGGACATACCCTAAGCTAGCTGCCTTGGGTATGGCTAGAGCTTCGTCATCGCAGCATTGAAGCCAGCATGGGCTGGAAAACCCTTTCAAAGAAGCAGGGGAGATTAGCTTGCTTTCAGCTCTGGGCTCCTTTGCAGTCACGTCTGTAACTGTATTGCAAATGTGTACACTGTGGAAAATGAATTTCTTGGGCCCGCATAGAAACTACTGGCCTGATTCTTCTCTCGTGTTGGTGACAATCAGGAGGAAATCCACTTGGCTCAGCTGAGCTGTGTCAGGGTAGACCTGCCCACATCTACATCCTGGCTAGCGCCTGAAGGATGTGACTCTGGACTGAAACCAAATTGTCTGTTCACGAGCTTGGTTCCCGAATGGAAAAGACTTGCAGACCCTGCATCCACACTAACCAGGCGACCCAGCTGAGGCAGGGCTGGGCTAGCACATGTTCGCCAACCCCGGTTTACACTCAGCTACTTTTTCTAGCCCACTGGAGGTCTGTGCGCAGAGCGGGGAAGAATCGAGCCCGCTGTGTCGGCCAGGCACTTGGCTGCGCTTCATGCCCCTTCCCCTGCACACATGAAGAGGAGACTCTCCCTTGCAAAAGCTGGAATCCACTCCGGCTGCCTCCCACATTCCCCACCGAGAAGCAGGCACATATTTGAAGCATGCTGTCTCCAAAACGTCTGCTTTCTTTATTTCCCCTGTCCTCCAGAAGCCTAGAGCGGGTTGCGTGTGCCTGACAACCAAACAGCAGTGGCAAGGAGTGCAGAAGGGTGGTGTCCCTTATCTCAGACCTTATTATGTATGGGGAAGTGGGGCAGTAGCCTTGAAAACAATTTACCTGCTGCCTCATCAAATGGTTTTGGCAAAGATCAGAGTAGTGTCTCTCCTGTTACCAGGTTTTTCCTGGGTATCATTGCTTATTTCCCTTGCACTGCATAATTATGTTCTGCTCCATTATATTTATGCAGTGTGTGTGTGTGTGTGTGGGGCAAGGGGTGGGGGTATTGCAGTGAGCTGGTTCGTATGTGCAACTGGGCAGGATTCTGGCTTACATTAAGGCCCTTTCTCCCATTTGGGCACTATAAAGGCTACGAGGGGAAATTTAAGGCTGGCATCCAAGGTTTGGTCTCCTTTGAAAGCCCCTGATGCAGCGTTCAGGGCTCTCCATGTCGGTGAGAATCAGGCGCGCTCTGCTCCGGACGCCGGACAAGGGAGCGTGCCTTCATGCACCGTTTTATTTGCTTCCTTGCTGGAACCCACAGGAATGAATAAATCACGGCGGAGGTGCAAATACGAAACCAGGAAGGAGCTAAAGCAGCTGCAGAGCCTCAGAGGCTGGTAAGAGCCCACTGCAAGCTGCTGGCCAGGCGGCGATATTGTTTCATGGGTGTGTTTTCCCCACCCCCCCTCCGATTTCAGCAGGCTGAATACAGTGGGCCTGCTGCCAGACACTCCCAGCACTCCCGGTAAACTGATCCCCTTCTCTGCCCTCAAGCCAAGCCCAGCTCCTGTAGTGGATAAAAGGAGAGGAAGTTCCAGCTGGGAGCCTCAGAGGGACTCTACTCACTCTCCTCCTCTCCAGCACCACTTTCCTGAGCTTTTCCTTGACGTTGGGGAAAGCCCAGACCCCAGCTGAATAGCCATGTCTCGCTCCGTGACTTTTAGCTCCCGCTCTGCAGCAATGCCAGGGATTAGCCAGGTCCGAGTCAGCACCGTCTCCTCATCCCGTGGTGTGGGAGGGGGTGCTGGCTTGGGAAGGGTAGGCAGCTTTGGCAGCTCCAGTCTCTATAACCTAGGCTCTAGCAGCAGGAGAGAGTCCCCGATCATACGTGGCAGCTCCTACAGCGTCCGCTCTGGATATGGATATGGCGGTGGCCTCCCTGCTGGGTTTGGCAGTGGGCTCCCATCTCCTGGCATCCAAGAGGTCACCATCAACCAGAACCTCCTGGCACCCCTCAACCTGGAGATTGACCCCACCATGCAGAAGGTGCGGCAAGAGGAGAAGGAGCAGATCAAGACCCTCAACAACAAATTCGCCTCCTTCATTGACAAGGTGAGACATGGGAAGAGGTGACCACACCCTGGATGCTTCTGAAGGGAGGTCTTGATTTAAGCCCCAGCAAAGTCAATGGGAAACTTTCCATTGACTTCTGTTAATTGGGCTGAAAAAGGATATTGGCAGTTAAATTGGGGTAAATCTTATGGCTCTTATTGAATGCTTTGCCCAGGTTGACTTCAGCAAAGGTTTCTTTTGATTAAAGCCACAGGGCTTCCTCCCTACAGAATAAGCTGGTACCAACCAAGCTATATGACTGCTGGTGGTTTGGGGTGCAATGCACGGTCTGATCTGGATGGGGCTCAGGGTGGGGCGAGGCGGGTGTGGGGTTGCCCCATTAAGAAATTACTAGTGTAAATCAGTGCTGCTCCACTATCTTCAGTGGAGCCATGCCCATGCAACGAGGCGGCTTTTGCACCAGGGGAACATCAGGCCCAGGGGTTGTTGGCAAAATTTGGCTTTGTAGCCAGGCTGGTGTTTTTTTATATGAAGTGCAATGTGTTCAGATCATGGCAGATACAATGCAGCTGGCCTGGGTTCAGGGAGGAAGATTCACCTTAATAGGTGCTGGAGCAAAATGTGGCCCTCTGTTAAATAATAAAAAGCTGCATTTTGGGGATGGCCCTCTAGCTGTAAGTTTGCAGCCTTGGCTTTGCCTCCTATCCAGAGCTAGGATCCTTCCCTGAGTGATCCGAATTTTTCAGGTGCTTTTGCCCAGCAAGCACAACACCTGAAGCTCTCTTTATGAGACAGCCTTCCCTGCCTTTGTGCCACTGTAGCCGGGTGACTGACGGGCTCCCTTCCCTCGCTGGCTTTCAGGTCCGATTCCTAGAGCAGCAAAATAAGATGCTGGAAACCAAATGGAGCCTCCTGCAGGACCAAAAGACGGCCCGGAGCAACATTGCTCCCCTCTTTGAGGCATACATCAGCAACCTCCGGCGGCAGCTGGATGGGCTGATGAACGACAAAGGGCGTCTGGAGGGCGAGCTGAAGAACATGCAGGATCTTGTTGAGGATTTCAAGAACAAGTAACGTATAATCTTGTCTAACGGTTTGCTGAGCCCCACAGGTTCTCCGGCATCTCCGCCGGGAGGTCTTTTGCTCTTCTGTGGGTGCTGCCTTTTAGCCAGGGGGGGCTGAGCTGGGATGACCCGTTGCAAGGGGCCATAGGCCACCCAGTAATTAATCCCTGTTATTTGTGGACGAAGCATCCTACAGGTTTCCAGTGACACTGCCCTGCCAAAGCTAGAAAAAGGTGGATTTTCATGTATTTCCATATGCAAATACATTGCTGTTAGACTCATCTAGGATATTTCTAAACCAGTGGCCACTGGTTGAACTGTAGCTGATTATTCAACTTAATTAATTGATGGAAATGGGGGAGGGCATTCTCCACAAGAAACGGTGGATAGACTGTAGCTTGTATTTGTAGACAGGGTCTGTACGCTACCGTCAGAAACTGGAATTTTTTTGTGAGACATCCGGACTTTTAATTTTCAGTCCAGAACCAAAATGTTGAAAATTCAGCTCCACCCCCACAAAAAAAAATCTGGAAAAAAATTGAATTGCAAAAACAGTGACCCGTTTCAATCCTGTCAAAACATAACAGGCAGCATAAGAGATCTCAAAAGCTACAATTAAATTAAAGGCAGCAATAATAAGTGATAAAGTGTCTCAGCAATTCCTGGATACTTTTTTTGTTGGAATGAACATGCTCCGGCAGACTGTTCTGATTGCTGCAAAAGTGCATTTCCAACCACTTTTTCCAGCTCCTCTTATCTCTGCACAGATATGATTAACTTCCCTTTGTACTCATTATTAGAAAGGATGCATCAAAGGCACAGCTGGGCCTGTTTTATTTTGGAGAGCCAAAGCAATCTGCACTGTAGTAGTCTGAACACAATGTGTTCAGAGCAGGTTTCTGGGGTCCCTTCCCAGCCTTGCTCCTGACTCATTCATTTGCTCTGGGTGGGTCATTCCTTATCTCTACTCCTCTATCTTCAAAATCAGTGTAAAAACCTGAAAGGAGCTTATGAAGGGCAGTACTAGAAATATGAAACACTCTTATCACTTGGCTTTTAGTCATTAGGTCTCCAAATACAGGTGTTACATTTGGCTGGGAACCTGAATTCAAATCAGATATTAGTGACACATGGCTGAATTCTGCAACCTTTGCTTGTCACTGACTTCAGCAGACATTTTGGCTAAGGATTGTCCCCATTCATAGATGCATGCTAGCAGATAGTTAATGATTTATCCTGTATTGCAATCTCATATAAAAGAAAAACACGGAGATACAGTATCTCTATGGTTACCCCTTTAGTCGAGGTAAACTTTAGTCGAGGGAGCAACACAGTTCTTAGTTAACTGAGATCAGACTTTGCAACTTCCTTTTTCTTTTTCTAACAGTGCCTTTTCTGAATATCCAGCGAAGGGAGAAAGGCAGGGGTAGTGGAGCAGCAACTGGGAAGTCAATGTATTGTGTCAAAAACACATTAAGGGGGGCAACGTGGAGTAATGCTTTTGCCTTGTACGTAGCTATTCCTGATTTGACCTCAAAGCACTTTTACACAGGAGATGACGAGCCTTTTGCAGAAGGGGTGGGCAGAGCGGAGCGAGGGCCAGAGGCAAGAAGGTGCCTCGCCCCAGGTTTACCCAGTAAGCAAATAGTGCGGCCAGGGATAGAAACCAGGCGCCCTATACTCAGCCTAGTGCTCTAGCCACTGCCCCATCCATCCACAGCATGGGTGCTGCCCCATGCTCACACCCATGGCTAAAACATGCCCAGGGAAAAACTAGAGCAAAGTTGGGATCTCTGACAAGGGGTTTCGGTGCCTCAATCAGCCCGCTTGGAAAGGCTAATACAACCCACCCTGTGCCCCTTTCACTCCGGGACACACCCAGCTGCAGAGGGGGAACCTTGGAAAAATATATGAGCTGGCAAACTGGATTAGGCAGGAACTGAGAACAAATAGAGCAGATAAACTCCAGGGCGTGCCAGGAGAAAAGTCAATAACTAGTAATCCCCATACAGGTCTAGGAAGGTGGCATTCAGCTGAAAGGATCAATCCGTCTCAGGTGGGAGCCTGCATTGTCCTCTGGGTGGACAGGTGCCTTGTACAGCCCTAGACGATACCTGGGCAGGGCAGGCCAGGACCTCAGCTGGCATCAGTCCATATTACTGCATTGAGCTGTGATGCTTTGTACCTGCTGAGGGTATGGCCTGTGTTCGGCTCCGTGTTGCGGCAATCCAGTCTGGGAGGAAAGACCTGCGCAAGGTGCATGGGCAGTGGAGAATCAAGCACAAGGACCTCAATCCTCTGGCAGGGTGCAGTAGCCTCTGTTGAGCATACATGTCATTTAATTTCCAGCCGCTTTTCAGGGACAGAATAATGCAAACTGGCCTTGTCGTTCATACATGTAATTTAATTTCCAGCTGCTTTTCAGGGACAGAATAATGCAAAATGACCTCGGTGTTGACAAGAATGTGGCCCTAAGTGGTTTAGAAGCATCAAAATCACCACGGGTCCAATTCTTCCCTGACAGCAGTAGTACTCCATCCACTCCCCTGGAGCTGCTGCTGTTTCCGATGGGTAAGCTCAGGATCAAGTCCTAGGTACACTTAACTTAGGAGCAGAATTACCTTTGGGATGGTCCAAGTGCCTGCACAGGCAGCTGGGGTGCGGGTTGACCCTGCACTCTGCATGTGGCCAGCCTGCCTGTGTCCGAAGGTCAGGGAAACTTATTCTGCTTTCAAACTGAAGTTAGTGACTTGTGCTTTTAAAAACGCCGGGAGAAGATGCCCTGGGAGATAGGGTGCGGTAGATGCAAACTCGCCACCTCTTAGCACGCAGTCACTTGGACAAGGCCTTTCCTTAGAGTGGGGCAGGTCACTCCTGAATACGTTCCCTGACACCTGTTCACTCCTGTCATGCTGAGCCTGTATAGGAGAGCATAGAATCGGTCCCTTTTCTCATCTCTTGCACATGCTGCATGTGCAGTGTGATGATTTAAACATCAGGTAATGCAGCCCTTCATGCAGCACCGGCTCCTGTGTCGCTGGGAGTCAGCACGGTGTCGATTTTCCATGAGCCGCAGGCCGTTGGAATCGCAGGGCTTCCAAGCCCGTTGCAAACCGCAGTGGTCGTGCAAGTCATCCGAGCAGATATTGTGACTCCAAAAGCTCTCACAAAGCCAGAGAAAATGGCTTCTGTTTTCCGGATGGCGTTTGGCGCCACTCAGCCGGTATGAAAAGCCTTAGTGGGGTTTTGCGGAGGATTTAAGTCACTGACTTGGAAGCTTTCCACTTTTCCTCCTCTCTGTCAGGCACGCACTCAGGCAAGTGACTTGCACCAATCTGTATTTCCCATGTGCCGGGTCCTGCCGTACTTGCTCTTTTCTGTTGCAGTTAGGAGTCAGGCCCTAGGAATCAGACCTTCAGGGGGTTTAAACTGATGTGGCTCTATTGAGGCCATGCCGGTTCATGGCAGCTGAAGATCTTGTCCATTATGCCTAAGGATGGCCTGTGTGAAGCTGACTTCCCCTAAAAAGGAGCCCACTTGAAACTCTGAGGCACAGCCTTCTCTGTGACTCGGTTTCTCCGTGGCATGAGTTATATTTTCTTGGGTCCCACTAGCTCAATGCGCATCTGCAAAATGCACTGAAATCCTGGGTTAAAGGTGCATGCAATCATAATGGGCAAGTGCTCCAAAAAATAATTCCTCAAGTGGGTTTTTAGATGGATTTAGGGGGAACAGCGCACACCTCTTCTTGTACTTGCATTTGCCTTCTGCAGTGAACTAGTACCCAAGGCTGCAATATGCCTGGAAGAAAAAAACACTGGAGAACATTTGTGGAAAGGGAATTATGAATGAGCAATTCTGCTTATCTGCATCTGAGTTACACCCATCCAAACAGGACGCAGAAACACCCTTGTGGCTTAGGCATCCAAGCAAAATAAACAGGAGTGCATAGCTTGGGTTTCTGAGAGGAGTAACGTGTGCTGAACTGTCTGGGTGGGCTAAGGATCCATCCCATCACTGATTTACACCAGTTGAGAAGGATGCCAAGGTTTCTTTGCTGAAATGATGATTTCACATAGGACAAGCACCTGGGTTGAAACATAAGCTGCTCTTAGCTGACTTGCAAAAAGAAACATGAAAATAAATCAACCAACTTAGTTAGTGGCATCTAACTTGGCATCTCATCTTTTTCCCCCAACCAGATACGAAGATGAGATCAACAGACGCACAACAGCAGAGAACGAGTTTGTGGTGCTCAAAAAGGTGAGTGGCTGGATCCTGGGATGCTGCGGAGGCTGGTTTTTCAAGCCTCTTGGAAGCTGAGGCCTGTGGTTTTAGCCAGGAAAAAGAAAGGCAGGTCTTTATCTTGAGACAGGAGATGTGGATCCGCTGTCATTGTCCTGATTAGGCTTGCTAAATACGAAGTGCTTTGACTTCAGTTCGTTGCTTTTCAGGAAGAGCACACACCAACTGCAGAAACTTCCTTAGCCTGGCGAAGGGTTTTTGAACCCAAACGCTTGCTTAATACTTGTTCTCCAACTATTTAAGTTGGTCTAATAAAAGATATCAGATTCACCCAAAGAACCTTGACTTCAGTTGGATTTTTATCCCATGCTACCTAACACGTATCTAAATCAGGGGCGGGCAATTATTTCAGGCGGAAGGCTGCTTACTGAGTTTTGGCAAGCCATCGAGGGCCGCATGTCAGGCATCCAGAGGCAGATAAATATTAATTTTCTACATTTTCTAGGGGCTGGATAAAATGGCCTGGTGGGCTGCATTCGGCCCGCGGGCTGCATTTTGCCCACCCCTGACCTAGTGAAGATGCACCATTATACAGGTGCTCCTCACTTAACGTCATCCCAGTTAACATGGCTGCATTATTATGTCACTGATCTATTAGAAAAATACTCATTTAAAGTCACCCAATGTGACTTTAAATGTTGTTTGGCCACCGCCTGCTAGTAGGGAACTACTGTGACGTAACTGGATTCGCTTCTCATCGTTTCACTTAACGCCACGTTTTTCAAGAACGTAACTACGGCATTAAGCGAGGAGTACCCGTAGTGCTGTTCTCCAGCAATACTTGCTGGACTGGATTCTCAGAATTACCCTTCAGGGATCTTTTCAGATCCCTGAAGATGTACACCTTTACTCCTATGTAAAGGGAGTGTAAGGTGTACATAGACCGCATAAGAGAATACCTGTCCCCAAATAGATGCCATCTGAATAAGAGGAGGGTGTAGTGAGAAAAATGTCTTTTGTAAGGTCAAATGGCAGGGCATGGCAGAGCCAGAATGAGAACCCAGGAGTCCAGAGTCCCAGCAGAGTGCCTTATTCATTACAGGATGCTGGCACACTGTAAGAGGTACGGTGCTATATATTATAAAATGGTAGAGCCTGGCAACATGGATTTCAGAAAGTCCAAGAGATGCCTTTCTAAGTGAGGAGTTAGTGCTAATTTTCGAATGAAAGGATGCTTGAATAGAGTCAGCCACATCCTTCCCTAAAACCTGGCTAAGCAGCTTGGTTCGCAGCCACTGAGCACCCGTGTGTCCCCCTGAAGCCAACCAAGATCTCGTTTCATTCCCTTAGGATGTCGATGGTGCCTACATGAACAAGGTGGAGCTGGAGGCCAGGGTGGATGCCTTGACTGACGAGATCAACTTCCTGAGGTCCCTCTATGAAGCAGTAAGGACCTTTCCATCTTTGCAAAATAGACTGGCTTTATTGATGAGTGGGTATCTATTTTGGTGATGGCTAAAACAATTGCAGTTTGCAAGGAGATGGGGGGTGTTATTGGATGTTATGGTATGTCACGTGAACCCTGTGGATGGGTAGGTGGATGGATGGGTATAGATCTAATTTTTTCGCTCACTTCTTGGACAGTAAAGAGTAGAAACAGGTTTTTTTTATACACAAAGGAGGTTCTGGAGGGTGTGAGGGTCTATTTCTTTGAATGAAGCCCCACCAACCCTGTTTGACCCATGGTGTCTTAAAGTCTGTGGCTAACCTAGCAGCTGAATGTGGGGAACACAGATGAAATGCAAGCTTGCAGTGAATTCATGCACCTGTGGCGCAAGACAGAAGCACTAAAAGAACTTCCCTCGTGTTGCTTCTTGGTTTGTAATTGCAATTGTATTAGAGGCAGTTGGAGAATGGAGATTTCGTACAGAAAATACTGATTTTGAGCAAATTATTTTGGCTGGAAACAGAAATATTTTTATTGCAAAAGCCCAGCTTGGTGTTTCATGGCTGGTGGAGAGACCAACCAGGAAAAAAGTTCCACCTGACATCCTCGGGCAGTGGAAGTAGGATTTGGCCCTATCTGGGTAGCAAACTTGGGTGTGATCTACAGCCCTGCATCCCAGCTTTTAAAACATTTGGAAGTGACACCTCATTGCAGCCAGGAGTTTAGCTCCCTGGGCCACTCCAACCCTTGGATTCTGCAGGTGTTTGGATGCCAGCCTTAGCTTCCTCTCAGACCTTTATAACTTCATCGCACAGCTCTTGGGGAACCAAAGCTGAGGAGCTGGAGGAGGCTGAGAGCAGCTATTGTGTTGTGATGTTCATAGAATCGTAGAAAATGGGGGTGGGAAGGGACCTCAGGAGGTCGCATCTAGTCCAAGACCCTGCTTCAAGCAGGACCAGCCCCAACTACATCATCCCATCCAAGGTGTTGTCTAGCCAGGGTTTGAAAACCTCCAAGGATGGAGCTTCCGCTACCTCTCTGGGCAACCTGTTACAGTGCTTTACTACCCTCCTAGTGAGAAAGTTTTGCCTAACATCCAACCTCAACTTCCCTTGCTGCAAGGTGAGCCCATCACTCCTTGTCCTGTCGTCTGCCATCACTGAGAACAGTCCAGCTCCATCCTCTTTGCAACCCCCCTGCAGGGAGTTGAAGGCTGCTATTAAATCCCCTCTCAGTCTCCTCTTCTCTAGACTAAATAAGCCCAGTTCCCTCAGTCTTTCTTCATAAGTCATGTCCCCCAGTCCCCCTCACCATTTTTGTCGCCCTCCACTGGAGTCTGTTCCTTGCCTTCCTCGCCTCTCCTCCTCCTCATTGGCTTCTAAAGTACAGTGAGAGAAAGCTAAACAAACAGGGATGTTAATGTACCTTGCAGGAACTCCAGGAGCTGCAGACACAGATCTCTGACACCTCTGTGGTCCTGTCTATGGACAACAGCCGTAATCTGGACCTGGACAGCATCATTGCTGAGGTCAAAGCTCAGTATGAGGACATTGCCAACCGGAGCCGGGCGGAGGCAGAGTCCTGGTACCAGAGCAAGGTGAGCAATCTTGGGTGTTGAGAGCTTCTGCCATTTGTGGGTGTCTGGAGAGGCTGCTTTGTGGGTTGGCAATGGGCAGTGAGTTGGCGATGCTGGTTGGGTCCTTTATATCCTTGTATATCTCAGTTCGAGGTACTGCAAGCCACTGCTGGGAAACACGGAGACGACCTGCGCAGCACCAAGAACGAGATTGCTGAGACTAACCGCATGATCATGCGGCTGCAGTCTGAGATTGACAATGTGAAAAACCAGGTGAGGAGTAGCTTATGCCCCGTGAATGTCCATGGAGCCCCACTTTCCATGGCTGTCGGTCCAGCAACACTCACAACCTCTGCACACTTTTTTTTAAGATGCCTTCAGTGGGAAATGAGTCATACTGGCTGTTACATTAAACAGGTTCAACCGGGGATTGGACCAGTTCATGGCGAACAGGTCCATCAGTGGGTCTTAAAGACAATTATTGGAGCTGCAGCTTAGAATTAGGACTCCCTCATCCTCTGAATGCCAGATGCAGAGGGCAGATCAGTCTGGATAGGCCTCACATACATATTCTCCCACTTATCAGCTCTCTGTGATTGCAAGATGCAGAAGACTGACCTAGATGAAGCTGCGGTCTCTAACAAGAGCAGTGGTCAGAGCCTTTCCCCAGGGTCAGACCAGGTGGTGTGTGGAGCAGGCTTACATGGGTTAGAGGGATGGATGTGACATTCCCATTCTTCACCACCTCTGACTTCTCATCTCCCTTCCTGCATCCAGGATGAGGTCTCATATAGAGCTACTTCTGTCAGGCTTGTTTTTTGACCTTCCCCTTTCACTGCAGCTTTCATCCATTTATTGAAGGGACCTTTTAAATCATGTCAAGTCATTGTTCAGTTCTTGCCTGGGAGAGCTGGATATTTGCAGTGAATAACCAGACTGCACACAAAGCGGGGAGATAAGCTATTGTGAGTCACTCAGTGCTGTTTATTTGGTTTCAGGGCAGGGTGTCTGCAGAGCAAATAAGCCGATCCAGAACGGCTTTCATGAATAATGAATGGGAATTGAAAAGCCGTATGCTCAGTGTTAAGTTCTTCCTACATAGTTTGTACTCTATTAATGATGCGTGTCATGCTGAGATGGCGGGAAACGTTGTTGTAGGCATACAATGGCTGAATAGACAGGCAGGTTTGGCATGGTACAAGGGTCTTTTTTTTTTTGTCTTTCTTTGGGACTTCAGGTATTGCTCAGTAGCTCAGGGTCTACCTGGCAGCTCCAGGTGGCGAGAGTCCTAAGGAAAAGTCAAATAATAGATGTTCTAAAAAGACCCCTGGATATTCTTCTTAAATGTTCTAATGGCCCTTTTTTACCATGATAATTGATGTGTTGGCAATGCCCAGGCAGAGAGGTGCACATAGACACCATGTATACCATAGCGAGAAAGAGGGATGGACGTATGGATGCCATACAGGGAGGAAGGGATGGACAACAGAATAGAAATGTCACTGCCATCAGCTGGTGCACACGTGCTCAAGTCCTGTGTCCTGCATCTCTAGCGTGCCAAGCTGGAGGCAGCCATCGCTGAGGCTGAGGAACGTGGTGAGATGGCCATCAAAGATGCCAGGGCTAAGCAGGATGAGCTGGAGGCCGCCTTGCAGAAGGCCAAGCAGGACATGGCCCGCCAGCTGCGGGAGTACCAGGATCTCATGAATGTCAAGCTGGCGCTGGACATTGAGATTGCCACCTACCGAAAGCTGCTGGAGGGCGAGGAGAGCAGGTGGGTGCAACATAGAGGCCTAAAATGATAAGGCTGGATCTTCTGAGGTAGACTAGGTTCCTCTAGCAAAGGTTCTCTTAAGGTACGTCAGGCAGAGCAGCTTTTACATGGACTACCTGGATTCTCCATTGCCCATCACCTCGAACAGTTTTTAACAGATGTACCAAAAAAGTGTGCAGTACCACCTGCTCCAAATGGTTGCATTTGTCACTGGGGGGGTTGCACGCAGGTAGGGGGGACAACAGCAAGTAGAAATTGGTGAGGAGGCAGGTCTGGCATTGCTGAGTGTCCCATCCTTTGCAAAAGAAACATCTTTTTCCTGCTCAGACGGGTGCTCAAGCTTTGGCTTGTACCTCACACCAGTCTGCGGGGCGTACTTCCATTGCTAGCCACAAAGCTAGGCAAAGGCCCATACAACACACACGCTTTATTTAAGCTCGGAAGTCTGCTCCTATTAACATTAGTGGTAAAAGTCCCATGTAGATCTGATTGAGGACTAATATTTTTCCAGGAGAAAATTCTATGAAGAGGATTTTTTTTTTTTTCATTTCCACTGATTTTCTTTTTTCCTTTGAGAATTTTCAGGTTTTTTTCTGTTTAAAAACTGTCAATTTTTATATTTTTAGTTACTGAAACAAACAAAAAAGGCACGTTTTGGTTGCAGAAATGTGCATGGGGTGTTGACCAAAACTGGAATAATTGTAACAGAAACAGATTTTTTGATTGGGTGTGGGGGGGTGGGGGGGAGCCATTTTCCATTAAAAATACAAGTGTTTTGGTGGAAAACTTTGTGTCTGTTCCCCTAGGAGTCAATGGCAGTGGGATGGGCTGTGTTAGGCATAGGTAACCAACAAAAGGTTCTCATGGCCCAGCTGTCTCCTGTGAATTATTGATAACAAGAATCATCCATCTCCATTGTCTCCATCCTCGCAGGCCTCCAGGCACTCTATCTGATCAGATGTCTAACCAGCAAACTTCTCTCTTTTTTTTCCTTTCCGACAGACTGGCTGGAGACAGACCTGACAAAGTCAGCATCTGTGAGTTGATTTATAATTTGCCATTTCTAATGGCCATTTTATTGTATTTACCTCCACGGAGAGCAAATGAAACCAATGAGTTCCAAAAGACATGCCCCGGGTATCTCTAGGGAATCCCCCGAGAATTATAGATCCTGCTTCTCATTTCAACCAAGGTTTCTTTTTGGCCACGTCTGGCCACGTCTTCATGAGCCATGGACTGCGCAGTCATTTAGGACTTGCATAACCAAGTCCTACATGACTGTGCAGTAACCAGTGTTGCTGCACAGTAGTGTCCCTGCATGGTGTTTTCCTGATGTTACTGTGCAGCAGCTCATTGCTACTGTGCAATAGCATCCTGTCACGGTTAGTGTCCCCCAGTGCTACTGCATAGTAGCAAGAAGCTACCACTCAGTAGCTCATTGCTACTGCGCAGTAGCATCTCATGTAGACGCACCCTCAGACACTTTAGAGAGGCCCCAAAGTGAGCAAAAATGAGTTACAGGCCCAGCAAATTGCTTACGCCAGAGTGCTGTACAGCTGTCCACTCCTGAGTTTTGTTCTTGTATAAAAGTTTATACCGGTACACCCCTCATATGCATGCAGCTATAATGATATATAGGGGCCTTCCTTTTACCAGGGATTACCTATACTCCTATAAGCCCTCTTATAAGGGAGTTACACTACCTTAGCTGTACCACTGTAGTTAAAACGTGACAGCTTCGGTGTGTAAGCTGAGGCCTTCGCGACAGAGAATCAGGCTCATAGAGTTTTGTTGCAAATGCAAATCAGTCTGTGGCTTATCTTTAGTACGTCCCTGTAGGATTTTGCACAGGGATTGCCTACTCTACCACAAACAAGGAGAGAGTTGAAAGGTTGATCAGACAGCTTGGAAAATCCCACAGACCAGAGATAAGATGCCCCTTTTATGGGAAGGCTCTGTATATCAGTGCACGATAAAGCAGGAGTAGTTGATTGAACTGCTATTTTCATTATAGCTGGGAGGGGGAAATGACTTTCCTATCCCAGGAAAATATTCCGGACCTTTTTCCCCGTCATTTCTGGGGGCACTGGCACTGAAAAGCCCGGTGCCAACAAGTTGCTGCTCACACGAGGTGAGTATCCGCCCCTGGAGAAGCAGCGCCAGACTCTGTGTTCAGAAAGCGCTGTTCACGGGGAGGCTGAAATCTGTTCTGGTCCCCCGGGCACTGATGATCATGTCTGTTTTGTCCTGTAGCGATGGTCAGCTCTAGCGGTGGAAGTGGATATGGCAGCGCAGGTGGAATCGGCTATGGAAGCAGCTTTGGCCTGGGAGGAGCCATGGGCAGCGGGGCCTTGAGCTTTGGCACTGGAGGCGGCTCCAGCCCGGTGAAAGCATACTCCATGACAACGACCTCTAGCAGCAGGACAAGCATCAGATAAGCTGCAGAAGCTAAATTGCCACTGCCGAAAGAAAGAGGTTTTTGTTGTGTCCCAATAGGTAAAATGGCTCCAATATCCCTGCAACGATGAATGAAAGAGCAATAAGACGCATCCCAGTCTACGACCCAACCACAGTTTCAATCCCGAGCTCTTGAACCCAAAGTGAGCTTTGCCACTCACGGCTTGACTAAGCCTCTAGTGTGAATTTCATCCTCATGCAGAGGGCAAAGCTATCCCTACATGCTCCTGAACCCTTTGGATGACCTCTCTGCTTGAGGCTGAATTTCACCCAAGGCAAAATCATTTCAATATTGAGTTTTCCCACGTATCTGCTGAGGGTTTTCAAAGGAGTAAAACAAAGTAGGGTGCTTAACTTCCCGTGAAGGAGGTTTGAGTTCCCAACTCCCTTAGGCTACTTTGCAAACTCAAGCCCCCTTTTTAATGAACACAAAAGTGGTCCTAGTTTTTATTTAGAAAGAAAGGAGAAGTTTGCTAAAATGTGGCGATTTCCCCCCACATTTCTGAAACAGAAACAATCTTTAAACCACCCTCCTTTGAATTAAAGTAATTTCTTATAGAAAACCTAGTAGACAGATTTAAATCTGGCTTTTTATAATGCAAAAATTCACTTATAAATGAAGGTCAAGAAATTATGAAAACTGAAATGTTCCCTCTTCCCCCCCCCCCCCCAAAAAAAATTTGCATATAATTTTAGAATATATATCCCAGCCTAGGCCTCTCTATTGGCAACTCTGTGTTTCAGTCTGATGTGCAGGATCAAGAAACAATAAGTAGCTTCCATTAATTTCCACACTTGCAAGAGACCATTGTAAAAGCAGTCATGGTTTACTCTCATTTCAGTGCAGATCCCATTGGAAATTTTGCTTTGCAATTGTAGTGAAGGGAGGAATGAATTAGCTTGTAAAAAAATAAATAAATGGGTTTCTGTCCTCGCGCTGATGTAAACCCAGAATAACTTGGCTAAGGACAGTAGAGCAAAATTGGAACAAGGGAGGAGATTCTCAGGCTCACAGAGAAATACAGAAGGACCCAAAACTCCTGTATTGCATCTTGTATTGTCATTTATGCTTGGGAAAAGTGCTTATGAAAACGTGGACCCTGGCATTTTGCACATTGCAAATGCTTTGCCTAAGCGTAGATGCTGGTGGCAAGGCCCTGGGTGTTTGGGATTCGGGGTCTTATTCTATACAGCATTATATCACATTCAGCAGACGATGGGCCAGATCTACAGCAAGGATAAATCAGCACAGCTCCATTTGCTTCAGTGGGGTTACGCACATTTACAGCAGCAGAGCATCTGAGTCGGAGGGTCCAGATGCTGTACCACTTGTTAGGTATTTGAGTGGCAAATGGGTGTCTAAGTGCGACTCTATGCTACCCTGGCTATGTCTCTGAAACACTGTGACCTGTTTAGTTTTGTAACATGCCTTCAATTTAGTCATAAGCAAAGTCACAAAAAGGAGCAAGGAGGAGGAATGGGACCCACGCACCTCTTGCATTAATAGGCTTGCAAGGATTCAAGCAATAAGACACACAAGAGACCTACCATTTAGACATTTAGACACTTAATCTACGGTACAGAATCTCTCTCTCCTTTCTTGGTCTGCTTTATTACTGACCTGGCCTTGTTGTTTGTAAAGCAAATGCCCTGTCATCCCAACTCTTTCGTGGGTTTGCTCCAATGTGGACGATATCATTTGGACTTGAGATCTTGGCTGCTTTATAACAAAGAGGTTATACAGAGCTTATTGGCTGCATGGGCGTCACGAGGACTGCTGGAAATTGTATCATTCTCTCTTCGGGTACCTGTGCTCAGCATAGAAATAGGGGTGGTTTCGTGCTTTCTGGGGAACAACTCCAGCGAAGCCGAGACCATTGAAACAGTTCTTTGGTGCTTCTAGCTGTCACAGAGCTAGAAGAGAGCACGGTCCATTGTTTTGCTACACTAACCAGTTGTTGCAGCCCAACTAACTCTCTAGCTCTTTCCACGGTGCATTCAAGCTAAATAACATTCATTCCCATTGTTTGGTTGACTCTGTCTTAGAGGAAAGAAAAAGCCACACACAGCTTTTGTATTGGATTATCAACCATATCCTCCCTGTATTGTAGCTGTGGTTAACGTTTCCTGACTTTGTGGTATGGGTGTGTGCATGTCACCTGCTTTTAATAAAGTTTGCCCAGTGTACCCCTCTGCCATCATGGTCTCTTTTCTTCTCTGTGGCTTTCTACTCCTTGATGGGAGGGAAAGGAAAGCGTGGGAGCTGGTAACCACTGCCTGCCTGTTTGCAAACACTGCTCGGTGCAATCCCCTTAGGCAGGACCGTGGTACAACTACCTGAGCCTTGTCCAAGGGGCAGGCCCGTGTCCCTTCTGCAGTACGTGGGAGTTTGGCCTTCTACTTCAGTGGCATTAGGGACAAGTGAGATGTGGCAGCCATTCGCCAGGCCCTTTCCTCTAGAAGAGTGGAGCTGAAAGCAACAGAGGCCAAAACGTTGCCCGGGTACCAAGGCGTTGCTGTAGACATGAGTACTGCACAGCCTTGTCACTGCAGCTGTGTCAAGGAACGCTCTGGGGATTCCCACAGTCCGCCAGGGACTGAGGCTGCTTTTGGGTGGGCTTCAAATTAGCCAGAGGTGGTTAGTGGGGTCACCTCATCTGCTTGGCACGGCAGGCGTATTGGAGCTCAGGTGCACTGAGGCTGCCGCCTTTCTATTCAGACGAAAGAGCAGGAAAAATGCAAAGTTAAACAAGACCGGGAAGGCTCTGCCCTGCCCTACTAAACAATAAGGCTCCATTGTTTGAGCTTCGCTCGCCAGGCCCAGGGCTTTATTTCTCAATAAACAAATATATTGAGATTATCCAGACCTCAGTTGCCGCTAAAGAAGCAAACCTCCTTCAGATACCCCACAGCATCCACAACCCGCCCCCCTCCCCAGGTACGCCCAATGATCCTCCATGTCTCAAGAGACCCAGCACCACCCAACATCTCCCAAAGGTATGACTGTCCCTGGAGGAAGAGTTTCATAAAGTTTTGGGATCTGCCTGTAGACTCCAGCCAACTCGGGTAAGCCCCCGGTAATAACGGCATCTGATGATTTTTACCGTTTGCCCTTTTCTGTTGAGGCGGTGAATCATTCTGCCCTCCTCGGCAACATTTTTGGCATGAATTGTACCATTCTTGGTAACCGCTAGGGGTCAACCCTCTCTACTTGCCGGTCTAATTTTTGACTCAGCCTAAAGGAATCGGTCTGAAGACAAGGTTACTTTATCTGCCTGGCTGGCTCCCAGAATTATTCATCCCAGGCACCTTGCATTCAGAGGTGAGCTCTTTTTACTTTCTGTAGCACTGAGAGGCAAGGGTACTGATGGCTTTTAGGTGACCTCTGGTAAAAGGAATGGCTGGCATTTGATCTGATTGCTAGCAAACAAATATCCATGGCAGAAATGCCAGCACCACAATTAGCTTCAGTTCAGACTGGTTACTGCGATCGCAATAATGAGATCAAGGCTTGGGGCAAGAGGACTTTATGTACCTCCTTTGCAAGCAAAAGATAGATAATCAAATCCTGATCCAGTTCTCCTAACAGAAACGGTATATAAGAGCTTGCTCAGTCCAGCCGGGCTGGAAGGAAGGAAGAAAAGGGCATTTTCTGATTGCATGTTGCTCTGTCTAGGTGCATTCAATTTTTTTCTTTGTACACACCACACCGCTGCAAATACTGGGCCAGGATAATAGGTACGGAGGTCGAATTCTCCAGCGTTGGTTCTCATGCACTGGCAGCTGGGGCAGAGACCATGTTGGTGGAAGGAGTGAGGGAAAGATTGTTTTGAACCTTTTTATGTGCTTCCCAGATACTGGGGCCCTGCAAATGCTCTTCC